CTGGCTCGGTCGCCCCGAGGCTGGTAGACAGTGAGTGTGGATCCGGCCTCACTGCAACCACTCCACCTTCTGCGCGACCGTGAACTGGTTCAAGGGCAATTAACTCCTGCTCAGCTCCCGTCCCGAGTAGCTTGGGTGCATTACAGGCACACTGCACAATGCCCGGCTAATTTTGTAGCTTTATTAGTTAGAGATGGATGTTTCCACACAGTGCTTGGAGCAGCCAGGCTGGTATCAAACCCTGACCTCGTGATTCTGCCTCCAGCCTCCCAAAGGTGCGGGATTACAGGCAGCATGAGCCATTGCGCCTTCGCCTGAACGACACTGACGCTTTTCGAATTCTTAAAAAGTGATGTTTAACGGAGTGTTTATTTTTTTTTTTTTTTTTTTTTTTTTTTTTTTTATTTTGAGACGGCTGAGTCCGCTCTGTTGCCCATGCTGGAGTGCAGTGGCCGGATCTCAGCTCATGCAGTCGCCTCCCGGGTTTAGCATGGTCTCTCTGCCAGTCCTCCCGAGGTAGCTGGCAGCTACAGTGCGCCCGCCACCATCGCCCGGCTAGTTTTTTGTGATTTTTTCAGTAGAGACTCACATTTTTTTAGTAGAGACCGGGGTTCAGCCGGGTTAGCCCCAGCATGGTCTCGATCTCGGGGGACTCGTGATCCGCTGTTTGGCCTGCCAAAACGTGCTGGGTGGGATTACACGCGTGACCAGGGCCGGGCCAAGGCAGTGTTTTACTTAGATGTTTTATACGAGCAAATGCAAAATATACCATTGCAGGAAACAGTGGCACTTGATCAAAGTAACATGTCTTAATTTTTATCTTTTCAATGGACAATGGCCATAATGCATATGGTTTACATAAATATATATATACCCACATCATATATATATTATGTTTTGTTTTTTTTGAAAGGACGTTTCGCTCTTGTTGCGCTCAAGCGAGTGCAATAGCGCATATCTCGCTCACTGGGCAACCTCCGCCTCCCAGGTTCAGGCGATTCTCCTACCTCAGCCTCCCGAGTAGCTGGGATTAACAGGCTCGTACCACCACACCCAGCTAATTTTGTATTTTTAGTAGAGACGGGATTTCTCCATGTTGGTCAGGCTGGTCTCGAACTCCCAACCTCAGGTGATCCATCCGCCTCGGCCTCCCAAAGTGCTGGGATTACAGGCGTGAGCCACCATGCCCGGCCTGACATATTTTTAGAGTTTTATTAGCTTTTTACAAAATGCCAGAAGTCCAAAATTAATTTCTAAGTTAATTTTAAAAAGTAGCACCTAAGTTCATTTTGATAGTAACTACTTCCAAATAAAATCCTATATGAATATTGTGCCAATGTCAGTTTCCTGGTTTTGATAAATTCTATGTCATCACTGGGGGAATCTGGGTAATGGACATAGGGGATCTATTTTGTAACTTCTTTTGAGTGTATAATTACATCAAGGTGAAAAGTTAAAAAAAAAAACTATATGAAATACATAACTGTGCTAGGAGCTTTACTTATTTTTAAGAGAAAAGCTCCAGTATACCCTAAAACTATTAATTATGTGATGAAATTAAGAACCAAAATAGAGACTAGCTTAAAATACATGTTGATCCTTGAACCAGTAGACATAGGAATGTTGCTCTGTTTTCTCTAGTCAGCTGTGAATTGTTCTGGAAGACAAGACTCTATGGCCTTTTTTTTTTTTTTTTTTTTTGTCTTTAGGGCCCCTAATAGTGAAGCATCCTCTTTTTTTTTTTTTTGAGACGGAGTTTCACTTTTGTTGTCCAGGCTGGAGTGCAATGACTTAATCTCAGCTCACTGCAAACCTCTGCCTCCCAGGTTTAAGTGATTCTCCTGCCTCAGCCTCCCAAGTGGCTGGGATTACAGGCATGAGCTACCACGCCCAGCCAAGAAATATCCTCTTAAAGAGAGTTCTTACTTTTCACAGCATAGTTAGGACATCTCTTAGACCTAGAGATGGATAAGCAACAAACAGTATTAAGCTTCCATTAGTGTGTTTTTGGACTTTATTAAAAATAAGAGGATAGGCATCACATACTTGACTGTTGAAGCATAAGAACTGACAAAATTGGCTGGGCGTGGTGCCCCATGCCTATAATCCCAGAACTTTGGGAGGCCGAGGTGGGTGGATCACCTGAGGTCAGGAGTTTGAGACCAGCCTGGCCAACATGGTGAAACCCCTTCTCTACTAAAAATACAAAAATTAGCCGGGCATGGTGGCAGGTGCCTATAATCCCAGCTGCTCGGGAGGTTGAGGCAGGAGAATCGCTTGAACCCTGGAAGCGGAAGTTGCAGTGAGCTGAGAGCGTGCCACTGCACTCCAGCCTGGGTGACAAGGAAGACTCCGCCTCAAAACAAAAAAGCAAAATACTGACAACATTTACTATTACCCAAATTTTGATTTGACTTGTAAGGAGCCCCCTTATCCTTGACTTCTGTTTGCTGCCACGAAATGGTACCTACTAATCAGTCTCTTAGGTGTGCATAGCACTACAGTGCACTCTGGCATGCCCTCACATATACTGACAAGGAACTTGAAGCTCAGGGAAGCGAAGTGAATCCTTCCTATAGAAAGTGGGAGGTCAACCAGGCGTGGTGGCTCACGCCTGTAATCCCAGCACTTTGGGAGGCCGAGGCAGGAGGATCACCTGAGGTCGGGAGCTTGGGACGAGCCTGACCAACATGGAGAAACCCCATCTCTACTAAAAAAAGTACAAAATTAGCTGGGTGTAGTGGCGCCTGTCTATAATCCCAGCTACCCAGGAGGCTGAGACAGGAGAATCGCTTGAACCCGGGAGGCAGAGGCTGCGGTGAGCCAAGATTGGTGCCACTGCACTCTAGCCTGGAGCCTGGGGTGACAAGAGCCAGACTCTCTCAAAAAAAACAAAACAAAACAAAAGTGAGAAGTCAAGACAGAAACCTGGATTTTAGGCCAGTACTTTGTTCTGTGACATAATCATCTTTGAGAACTCAACAGTGCATAAAGTGGCAGCTAACATGCAGCTGATTTCCGATTGGTACCCTACTTAGCAACAGAGAAGTGTGTCAGAAGTGCCGGGCTTGATCTATGCCACGAGAACTCTTTAGAATTAATTTGCTTTGTGTGCTGGTTGAGGAGTAAGTTGGCAGGCAGAAGGTGCTAGGGGCTGTGTTCTGGTGGTAGGGTGCCATTGGCATGGCAGCTAGGCACATTTGCTTGGCCAGGGCCGTGAAGAATCAGGGAAAAGGTACATGCTTGCAAACACAAGTAAAAATACAAAGGTAAGACGGAAAGCAAACAGAACTAATGAAACATATTCTTGACCATATGACCAAGAAAAGGTAGTGGAGGGGAGGGGAGAGGCAAAAAGTCTGAGAGGCAGATAAAGTTCTGCAAGTGCTTCATTCAGACATCCAATCAGCAGGGAGTTACTGCACCTCTGGGTCAGGCAGCGCGTCAGGACAGGGCACAGGAAGATGAGTCCCTGCGCTTGGGGAGCTGTCCCTCTTTGGCAAGGGTGCAGTGCACATGGGCCTGCATGATCTGGAACTTAACTGTTTCTACTACTCCCAGGTATCTTTAATCGTTTTTCTCCATTTCCACTGCCCAAGGCAGTCTTGTCTCAGTTCAGGACTACAGTAGCCTCTGTCCATTAAGTCTTCCCGTTTCCTTTTGCTTCTCTCCAATCTGTCCTCCACATAATCACCACTGTCCTCTTAAATCACATCACCTTTCTCTCGTGCTTAGGATCTTTCAGTGGCACCCACTACGCTTTTCCAGGCCCCTCCTCCTCCTGACAGCCGCTTTCTGGAAGCAGCTCAGCCGTTCCTGCTTCAAGGTGTTTCACATTGTCGGCTTCCTCCGGTCACACACCTCCCTGTTCACTCCCCTCCCTCAGCTTCCATTCTAATCCTTCAGAGCTTAACACCCCACAGGTCCTGTTATCTGTCCTCATTGCTCCCATTGTTCATTACCTTTTTATTTAGCACTTAGTGTAAGATGTAATCATAATTAACATGATCTGCTTTAAATTCCATAAGGTAAGGGGATTTGTTTTCGCAGGATCCAGCATGGGGCTGGGATTTAACAATGTCTGTTGACTGAATGTCCCAAGCCTGCTTCTTCATCTGCAAAATGCCGTAAATGACACCCAGCCTTTTAGATGGCAAAAACAGTTCTCACATATGGGGCGTCACTATGTACCAGATACTATGGTTTATATGCAGTTGCCACAAAACAATTCCCACCTCTCTGCCCATTTTACCAATGAGAAAACTGAGGTACAAGGATTTAAAATAATCTGCCTCACACAGAATTAGAAAGAGATGAAGTTGGAACTTCAACCCAGATAATTTGAGCCCTCACTCTTCACTCTGGAGAGTGGCAAGACAGTGCAGGTGCCCGATGAAGGTCGTGGAGGGCTCCCACCCTCTCCCAGGGGATAAAGGAGCCTGCAGAGGACAGTGAAGAGAACCAGGCACAGGGCTAGGTGACATGGGACTAAGCCCCCTCACAAGCCCCTGCCTCCATCCAAAGGCTGCCAGGAGCCCCTTTGTCCACTGTGGACTTGCCATCTCTGTGACAGGCCAAGGCAGGCGCAGATTCTCTGGGTGGCCTGAAGCAAGCAAGAAGCAAAGCCTGCCAAAGGGCCCACAGTGACTGGGACCTCGTCCTAAAAATCAGAGTGAGTCAAACCAAGTCTACACATCAGAACTGGTTTCTTCTGTCACATTGTCCTTGATGTGGACTCCCACCCCCCAATGTAATTGTTTTTGATAGTAACCCCAGAATCCAGTTCTCTTTCAGTTGTTAAAGGTAAAAACAAACAGCTCATTTCCACTGTATACTTTCATAATATGTGAAAAAGATTGCACAAATTATATTTCATTCTAAAGAATAAGAGTTTCAAGAATACATTAAACTTCAAAGAATCTTAGCTTGTGCTTAAAAATAATAATGCTGTCAAATTGCTTCATACACTTTATAAATAGAGTATAGGCAAGAAACATTACTAATGGTATCATAAATAAGTATTATAACTTTATTAAAATGAAAAGACAATATTCAAAATAATGCAACAAAATGAATAAAATCCTTTGTCCAATACTGTACACATAATGCAGAAATCAGTGCATTTTTCTTAAGCATGTTTTAACCTTCATTTAGTTCATACTAAAATATAATAAGCTTTAAATAGCTCAAATAATATTCAGCAGTTTAAACTGTAAACAGCTTGTTTAACTGTTAAGAGAACATTGCAGTAATGTACCTCTGTTAGTGAGCACCTTCTCCTCTGTGCTTATCTCTTCAAGATAAATACATGGAAGGATGTGAAAATCGGAACACAAACTATGTGTCTCACTGCATCTAAGTGAAGCAGCCAGCTGTGAGAGTTTTCAAAGCAGAAAGATGCTGATGTGACCTCTGGAATTCAGACATACTGCGCTATGGGTCAGAAGTGTTTTACTTAAAAAGCAAACAATCCCCAGGAAATACTGAATAGGAACCAGCAACACAAGACCAGCTTGTGTTGTATTTGTTTATTAATACAGTCTAAAAAAACAAAAGCAAAACCACAACACACATCCCCAAACAATAACTCTCAATCACATAGCTAATCGCTTCATTATTTTGTAAAACTGACATCCTAACACTGGCACCTAGTATACTATCCCATTTGAGTCTAACGTACCCCACTGCCTCTAATACGGCCCGCACTGCGATGAGCTACTTCAGTGGGTGGGACCAAGTAGGAGCTGTAAGGGAGAATTAGTCACTAGTTCTATTATCGTTTTATTTTTCAAGATGTGTTACATGTACAGGTGACAATATGGTTGCCAAGTAAACTGCTCTCCCTCCCTCAACAAGACACAACATGAAACCTGGAAGTATGAGGCCTTGGGATGATTTTTAACCTAAGTAGGTACACCCATGGTAAAGAATGGATACTCTGCCCTCCATGGAAAAGACTGCCTGCAAAAATAAATGAAACAAAATAGAAAAGGCCTAAAAGCCAGAAATCTTCAAACTTACTAAACAAAAATATTTTTTAATGATTCTGATCTAAACAATACTGTATCTTCTTCCATTTATTTGCTCAATTTTCAGTCTATCAGGACTCATTTCTCCAGCTTGAGTTTATTATTCTGAATATATATTACTCTAAGATAGTAACTAATTGGTTAACCTGCAGCTATGGTCTATGGTTATACCACAAGTTTATATATAGGTATGTAATGTATGCATATATAAAAAGCTTCCCCATCCTCCCCTCCCCACCATCACATCTTTAAATTATAGACTTGAAAGACTTTTTTCCAACACTAACAAAATCAGGGGTTCTCAGCATAACAGCATCTCACAACTGCTCTAAACCTTCCGCGTGAAGACAGAGAGTTCAACTATTTTGCAATCTAAGGGATTTTTCTGTGCACTTCAATCAAACTGGAAAATTGAGATCCATTTGCTCCTACATAACCTCTGCTGAACCACGACCCCAAGGTCTAAGGAGAAACCACATAGGATAAATGTTTACGCTTCACGTGGCCACCCAGATCCACTTTTGTTTTTGAGTCTGGCTTTTCTGTGGCTGAAGATATGCCGCAGTCAGCAGGTAATGGCTGGATTTGGGCGCTTGCAGTTGTTTCTTCCGCTTCCCTAAAAAATTTTTCATATTTGTCCAGGTATGGTGGTCGTTCAGGTAGTAGGTAATAATGGGTTGAACTAACCTTCTTCCCATTTTCAATAATGGGCAGAATGCAAGGAACCTTATTGGCAGATCCTTCGCTGTTCTGTCTTTGCAGTGCTTTGCTGCTGACATACTTGGGATCAGGGGCAAAGCTCTGTGTTGGGGGCATGACCCCATTGAGGTAAGACGGAAGGCTTTTGGGACTCGGTGTGCGCGAGTTACTCGGTGACAAAGGTTCTCTTGGCGGTACTTTGGGAGGCCTGTCTTCATCACTATAGGTGCTCGAAGTAACTTCTGCTGACCATCTTCTATAATCTGGCTTTACCGGCCTAGGAGGTATGGGAACTCTGGGGGGAATCTCAGGTTTGTCTTCATCGGAGTTAGGAGAAGCTCTGTGTATACAACAGTTGGATATCCTTATGGCTGGCTTGTTAAAGGAGCCAGCTGGTCCCGAATGAGACCTTCTTAATCTTCGGTGGGTCTGAGGTGGAGGAGGATTTGGATCTGGGACACCTCCATTTTGGTCAGACACATAGCTGAGATCTGCTGCAGAAACAGCTGGGGTATCAAAATATGCATAGTTGATTTGTCCACACCCACGGAAGCTTCGCCTGCCAGGAACATCATATTTGAAATCAGAAAGTGTAGAGTCTTCTAAAAGGAAGTCTGTATCTGAGCTAGTTAGGAATTCCACCTCACAGTCTGTGTCATCCAGAGAGAGGGCTTCAGAGATTGGCAACGGTGGAAGAGGCCTAGAACCTCTTTCACAAAGAGGGGCACAGGGGAAAAGGGAAGGGGAGTTTTTTATGGGTGTCAGTGGAGGAGTGGAAGCACAAACCCCGTTCACTGTGAGTTTCTTAAAACCACATACAACTTGATCCTCTTCATGTGGTCCCAAGTTTTCACTTGGGGGAATAAGAAGAGGAGGCAAGCTGGACTTTTGAGCCGGACCATTTTCTGCAAAGCAGTGGCCATTCATCGGAGCAGATTTGGAAGTGTGCCCTGGAATGAACAAGAGATATTAGTAAAAGATCAACAATCCTCTCTCCACCTGTGTGAGGGAGAGAGCGCCCCCGCGACCTATGCTTCCCCAGCTTTCTTCCTGAGTGGCTGTTGTCACCCTGAACACCCATGCAACAACCACAGGTGTAATTAGAGAGCAGAAGATTGTTAACGCATATGGTGTGGTTCAAAGAACAAACTATCTCCTCTATCTCTCTTGGACATGTGCACAGTGCACACCCACACATCACAGGCAAGTTCTGTGACGTGTGCAAAATTCGCGGAAGATGAACAGCATATAATTTACATGAATACCATACTGCACCAGCCTTGCCATTTAAGACATGCGGCCATACTAGGCACGCAGGGTACCAGTGAGATAAGACAAAGTCCTTATTGCTAGCACATCATAATATCGTGAGTGAATGGACTTGCTTGCAATGTGTTCAGTTCACACACAGCTCTTGACAAAGATACAAGGAACAAAATATTCACATTAAAAATACTATTTTCTATGTTTTGAGGAACATTTATACTATTTTCATCTATTACTGTCAAACATGCATTCAATATTAGTAAGAAAGGTAGGAGATCTTGCCTAAGGTTTCATGAAGTAAAGTATGCATCAGAGCTGGAATGAGAACTAATTCTTGATTTTGGAAGATCACATGTCCACGACCAGTCCTACTTAGGACTCAGTCACTCAGAATGAAGGCAGTGGAGTACAATAGCTTGAGAAAAACACAGTTATCTTCTGAATCTGTTGCCACTAGGGGTCAGGCTATTGTTGGAAATAGTTCAGGTTTCCTCATTTAAAAAATAATGCTGGAGGACAAGCTAACCCGAATCCAGACTGATCTTCTCAAATGCTTACTGTGATCAGATTTTCAGAATACATACCAAGTGGTATTAGGCGCTCCTGAGCAGAAGAGTTCAGACTGTAGGCCATGGTTATCGGGTCAATATTTAAAAAGTTGCTGAAAGGAGAGGAAGATACCTGGGTCATAAACAAAGAGCAATCAAAGCCTCTCTCATTTTAGTGTCGCTTATTTATCCAGATTACAGCAGCATTATATCCTCTACTTACTTTTTAAACTCACTGCGACTGCTCCAGCAGGTCTTCCTCATATTCCCCATGGCTCGGCCATTATGTAGAAATCCAGTTTTTAATGGGACTCTGATCTCCTGAGCAGCAACTCCTGCTATTGACATTGTGCCTTATTCTGGGACATCTCCAAACCTGTGAGGCCCAGGCATTTTAAAATCAACCAGTAGCTTTCATACCCTAGGGGGCAGAAGAGATGAGATAATAAAGAAAACAATTCAGAAATACCTCCATTAGGATAAATTACAGCAAAGCATATTATGACAGAATTTGGGGGGGGGATGCAGAATAGAAAAAATTAGTTGTGGACTTTCACTTAATTCTTACTGAACTAATTCTTATGTCTCATGAGGATACTTACATGTAAATACTAAAAATGATTTTTTGTGTAAATGCTAATCCAAAAGACATGAAATATTTTAGTGAAATGAGAAATAATCTATTGCCAGCAAAAGCAGACCTCCTACTGCAGAGCCTGATAGTTGCACAACAAATCACACTCACTTGGCAATGCACACAGACCCTCCCTTGACCTATTAAACCAGCCTTCTAAGTTACGGCTGCACTGGGCATGAAGCACCAGTGAATCCTGCTTATTTTTCCCAAGCTAAAAAAGTAATTGTATTTTATGCCACAGAACGAATATTCACTAAAACCCAATGCTGAAACTAAGCAAGAGTTTCTACAGTATTGGCACCTGATCACCCCAGGGTCTAGCATTTATTTGGATTTTGTATTTCAGGGTTGGCCATGGGAAGACAAATTCTCCAGTTACTACTTATTCAAGGAACAAACAGTAATATATGAAGATACTAATTTCCATTATCCTGTAAAAATCAAGTTCTACAAGATTACGAGCTTTAGTAAAAGCCTGGGACAACTTCTTCCCTCCCTTTTAAAGACAAACTTAAAGGTACATTCTTTACATTCTCCTTTGTGAAATACTCAGTAACTCATATCTTGCTTAGCTGCAAGGCATGGATAACAAAGGCTAAGTACATTTTTCTTAAATTAGTTTCTCAGCTTTAGGACCCCCAATCCCCCTTGTCAGATGTTACAGGTCTGGAGTCCCTACAGCCCCCTTTTCATTTTCCTTTTTTATTATTCGTTATTAAGTGTTAGTCAGCATCAATCTCTGCTGTCTTCAGATAGCCAAGTTTACTTATGGTAAGTTTAGGTTTTTTCCCTTAGGCACCAGGATATTATCTGTCAATTATCTGTATAACACTGACCCCTTTTGGGGCATGTACATGTACACTCTTTAACACGATCTCATTCTCTTACTAAATATTAGTAAGGGATTAGTGCAAACAGTATCTGCACAGCTGTGTGCTGGGCACTGTGCAAAGGACTGAAGATGACTGTGACACATTTGCTGTGGGGGAGAGGTACACAGGTGTTTTGTTTTTTTTTTTGCTCAGTAACTTCAAATCTATTATTTACAAATCTGTCACCTCCTACTAGACTGTAAGCTCAGGACAGAGGCTGTGTCTCAATCACCTTTTAACGATCAGTACCTGGAACAGTAGTAGGTGCTCAGTAAGTGAATGTTTGTTGAATGAATGATTGTATAATACCATCTAATTATCATAATCAGTATCAACTCAATATACACATTGTGTGAGGCACAGGGGTTTTTTAAAGCTAAAAACCTTTAAAAAATACTCTGCAAGTATCCATTATTATTTTCCCATTAGAAAGGAACACAGTGAGAGTAATGCTCTACAGGTTCAAGGTCTCAGTAACAAAATAGAGAAGGGGATCCAATGACTGGCTCTCTGTATTTTACCCTTCCAGTCAGCTGTTCTATCTGGCAGAGATTTTATGATAGGGTTAAAATATTATTTCAGATAGTCAAGCATTATTTTTCTTTAAATCAGTCTCTCAAATATATGATAAAGAAAACATTCTGTCATTTAAGAATTCTAAATTATTGAGAGGTCTTTTGAGGATCGGTTTTTCAGATTACTTAAATGAAGCAAATGTGTATCTACCAACAAGCTATAAAAAATTTAAAAACCAATTTTAAAATATTCCAACCTCTCCCTCTGTGTACTTAGCCCAGTGGTTTATCAAGCTTTTTCTAAGCATTCTACAAGCACTGGCAAGACTATGAGAAAAGTATCTGTGGTAATATAAAAATGAAAGGCAAGATAGGAAGAAGAATATGGTATTTAAGTAGTTTGAAAGCACACGTTTGAAGATCGCTCATCCCGATTACAGGAAAATGCTGCAGGGGATTCTGGAGGCCCAACCCCCACCTGTCTGCAAGCCAACAAGTACTACTAGTAATTACTGTGTGTCAGCCTCCTAATGCCATCTACATCTTAGCTTTCAACAGAATGATTGTGTAACTATTGCCTCTGCAGAAATTGCCTTGGAATTCTAAACTTACATTTCAATGGTCGCTTAAAATTATTTATACGTTCTAGAAAAAGTTATTTTTTATTCATTGTTTCCATCACCTACTTGTTAGCTTTCTTAAGAAAAAAATTTTTTTAGTATAAAAAGAATTGTGTTCACTAAGCCAGCTCACTTCTGACCACAATAGTGTCTTTGTGTATTCATAGAAGGTGACCTGCCTCTAAATTTCAATGGGGAATTGTGAATGGGCCATGTTATGAAACTGTCCGAACTTCCTACTTGCTAGCATGGGAGACGAGGGGGGCAATATAACTGCCATGTTCTCTTCTTTTGGAAAATAACTTCAAACCGTAGACTCAAAAAGGGCAATGTGCTACAGGTTTGGAAGCAAGCTTTTAAAAAAAATGTTCCTCAGATTGTAAACCGAGAGTATGAAACCACCTGAAACTCTATCTCTCTAAAAACCTTCTAGTATTCAGTGCAAATGGAAGGAGGGGGAGTAAATAAATCCATTTTACCAACCTCAAGCTAAAAAGAAACAAACTCTTCCCAAGTGACGTTTAATGCTGCAATTTTTCACATCTTATCTGTCTTACAACTCATTAGAGGAAAACAATTGCAAAAATGTACCTATGTGGGAAAATCAATATCTAAAAAGTACAAGATGGAATTATGTCATGGAATCCAAAAATCGGAAAGCGAACGTGAATCCAGGCAGCATGGTTTAGACGAGGACCCGAATAACCTTAGGCATGACTTCTCCAAACTTCATCAACTATTTTTAGCTTTTTTAGTGGGTCTAAAATGCAGTTAAATACCAAATTTCAGACGTGAACCACCTTTTCCTGTTAACATAACTTGATTCTTTTTAAAATTCAACAAAAAAAGAAGCCCTAAAATCATTTGCTTCTTGAGGTTATCCTTTTATTAATCCACTTGTATAGCTTCCACTCATAGACAGCTCCTGAATCAATGACTCCAGCCTGGCTCAAGCTCCAGCTTTGCATTTCCTCTTGTCTGGTGATTATCTTTCCACTTGAATGGCCCTCTGGCATCTCAGACTCTACAAACCAAACTCCTCCTTTCACTTCATACTCCCTTCCCCACTCAAACCAGTTCAGGGTCCAAGAGGATCACACTTCTCAAGGCACCATTTTTAACCTGAGGCCATGTACATTCAATTGCCAAGTTCCACAGACTACTTTTACATGATTTCTCAAATCTTACCCTTCCATTCACAGGCATCATTCTTCCTGGGGTCTGGAAATATGCAACCTATTCTATACACCAGTACCAGGTCAATATTCCTTAACAACAGCTCAAACTAAGATTTGCTGCTGCTCAAAAAACCTTCAAAGGCTCCTAAATAAAACCTCCTCAGCCTGGCATTTAAGGCCTCTACAATATAAACCTAATTTATATTTTCAAGCTCATTTCTATTTTCCCCAAATCTGTCAGAATTCAATTTATCCTTTAAGGTCAACTCTACCCTACCTTCTCCATGAAGCCTCTCCCTTCATGAAACACCAGAGCAGGGGAGCTCTGTTCTTGGGTTATTCTGTGCTGGGCCCCAATTCCCATTCCACTCTTCAAATCATCCAGGACAGAACTGATGTCCGATTTATTATTTCCCCCGGTAAATCTTGGCATCATTCATGTCTATTTATTAAATGGATACTGAGAAAATATCCATCTCATTTTTAGAAAGTAATGACATGAAAGATTCACATACACTGTGTGTCAGTGAAGAGCTCAGTAAGGATAAACTTAATGCGTGCTGGAGTGAGGCCACTGCCCAGTAATAATGTAACAAGCTTAGGATATGTAACAGGAAGGAATTTTTATGAAATTCATTTCCAGAATTCAAAGTAGATAGTTTGTAGACTGAGTAAAAAATTATAAGCTTCAGTGGTTAACAATGTAGCTTTCTAAACTGGTTTCTGTTACAGTATATTTACTTGAAGCAACGAGGGGGGTACTTTCTGAAAACAGTGTTTTGCCTTCTCTTAAAACACTATTCCTTCTAGACTGTGTTTTTACTGCTAAATTTAAGGTCACTTTCATTTTGCTAAAAAAGTTACACCAAAAGCACACTGCACTTTCTTCATTAAGGTGAAATCACATGCCTTTAGCTTGAGGATAGTCTCTTTGAAATTGCTTAAAAAAAAAAAAAAAAAGAAAGAAAAAGAAAGAAATGCAGGCTACCTTAAGGCAGTAACCTAGATCTGCTTACCTGGCCACCAGATCTCATTAATAAATCTCAGAAGCCATCCATGGGAGGAGGGGCACATTTTTGTCATACAACTCATCCAGTTCTGCCCAGTGCTTCCTTATTTAAGAGTGTGATGTAATTTCCTCCTTTCAATCTGGTTCTAGAACCTGATTTCTGTTTATTCAGGGTGATAAATGGTCTTTTCAGTTCCATTTAAGAATCACCTACATTAAGTACTTCCATAACCAGGGAAGATAATAAGGTAACTACATTTAGCACACCACAATCTCTGCCTCCCAGGTTCAAGTGATTCTCCTGCTTCAGCCTCTCAAGTAGGTGGGATTACAGGCATGCGCCAACACACCAGGCTAATTTTTGTGTTTTTAGTAGAGACAGGGTTTCTCCATGTTGGTCAGGCTGGTCTCAAACTCCTGATCTCAGGTGATCTGCCTGCCTTGGCCTCCCAAAGTGCTGGGATTACAGGCGTGAGATACCGCGCCCGCCCCAGATTTCATTTTAATAGCGTATGATTTAGGGGTAGGAAAAGAAAGAGGGAGGCAAGTTAAGAAAACTTCCTTAGTTGTACTCTCTACCATGGTAAATG